GGTCTTGACGCAGCTTCGGAAGCCCTCGCAAACCCCTTGTGGTTTAGGGTTTGGGATTTGGGGTGATCCCTCCAAACATTGTAGTCTTTGCTCGGTGCCCAAGTGCTTGAGCCTTCGGGCTGAAGAAGCAGAACTATTAAATCGTCTTTCTTGTTCCTATATATATATATATATAGCCCTACAGGTCTACGAGAATGTCGAGACCCTATTCTAGCCATTCACCATTTCGGATCCGGGTCTGGGGGGATGAGAGTTTCCCGTTAGCTTTCTTGCATTACAACGCTGCTCACAATGGCTTGTAGCTAGAATGAGGCTTCAGGGTGTAGGAATAGACCAGGGCACAGACTGCAGGTAAAGCCCTTTAAAAGCCAATGGAACCAAAAACCGTGGTGCAACAAACGAATAAATCCATGTGATCCTATATCGCTCGGCGATCTTGCTGGCCCAAGCGGCCTTGAAATGCGCAGGGTCCCGAAGCCGCAAGACTGCAAACTGCTGTGGGAACTTCTGTCTTCAAACCTAAACCCCAAACCCTAACCCCCAAAACCCTAAACCATCCTAAACCTAAGGTCAAACTAAACCCTCAACCGAAACTAAGCCTGAACCCCCAACTAAATCCTAAACCCTCCAAGGAAAAACAGGCCCTGAAGCCTGTAAGCTTCCAGGCAACTCTCAGCCCGTGGACCTAACGAAGCAGCGCAAGGCACATGGAATGCCGAGAACAACTGTCTTTGGGGTTTCGGGTGTCAGGTTTAGGATGGCTTTATAGAAGTTGTGTACGGTGTGGGTGCGGAGTTTCGAGCGGATTTGCACTGTTTTTTGGCGTTTTTCTTTTTTGGCCGTGCTCCTGCTCTGCGCTGCCCCCCTGACCTGCCCTCTGCCCTGCCCTGCCTTGCCCTGCCGCCCCCGCTGCTCTGCCCTGCCCCTGCCCCTGCATCCGCGCCCGTCCTTGCCGGGTTATAAGTACCTTTATTGGGGTTAGAAGGAATTATACATAGTTATAAGTATCGTTACCCTGCAAGTCCCATGGTCCTTCAAGTAGCCGAATCCTCAATCTCGGCTCCTTATGGGTACCTTTGCGGAGGGGGGCGGGGCGTTGTCAATCCCAGTGCCTTGCCTAAACCCCGAAGCCCTAAACCCAAAGCCAAACCCTAAGCTTGCTCCCTCACACTAACCCAAAGTCTCACGCCATGAGCCCACCCAAAATCACCAAGCTCTTTGGAAACGACGGGCATGTCTGTATACATGCAGCCCCAAACAGGCCCTGCACTCATAAAGTGGCTTCCTCTGTTTAGACCTATAGGACGGTAGGATGTTTGGGGCATCAAGGTAGACGTAAAGAGCCAACACCCGTAGACCCAAAATCCCCCTTCCTAAACCGTAATTCCCCGAAACCGCTCAGGGTTTAAAGTTTAGGACTTCAGGTTTGCAGGGTCTGGGGGCCAGTGTTGGGGGGCCGAAGTGAGCTGAACTGACGCAAAGGCCCGCACAGATGATGACTAGAACGATTGTGAAGCATTCGAACCAGGACTTAACAAGGGTTCTACACTTCTACACGGGCTCTATTATGTCTTAAGAGCATCATACCGAGACGTTAATGATTGTTTTGGAACTACCTCGAACCCTATACTGGGGACACCAGGTCTTGCACGTGCGTTTAGGGATTCTGAGTTGCATAACTTGGACTTTATGTTGGAGTTTACTGATGCTTGTTAGATATAGATAGGGCTTCATTTGCAGTGCTGCTTAAGTCTTACAGTCCTACACCCACCCTGCTATGACCTCTTTGCCACATGTGCTTTTTGGGATGTGACGTCGGGACTGGGGGAATTTTAGGGGGGTCCTATAGGCGACAAGACTCGGGACCTTTTGGGCCGGTCCTAGAGGCCGAGCTACCAGAAACAAAAGTGTTAGGGGGCCCAGGCTGAATTTGCCCCCTTTCCCGAAAAAATCACAGAAATCTCCCAGCCCTCAGAGCCTTCCACCCTCTCAGGGCTTGCTCAAGGCTCCAGAGGCCTTCTGGCCGACGGTGCGACGGGCGGGTTGTTTGTTGGAAACCCTTGCTTCTCTTCGAGCGAGCGGCACAGGACGCGAGGACCCACAACCCGACACCAATTCATCTCTGCTGTGGTTTGCTGTGAAATGTGGGCGCTATGTGTCGAACTGCGAAGTGAAGCAGAGAGCAAGAAAGCCCCCTGTTGAAGGGGGCTTGGGGGTGGAGCCCTAAGCCCTATTCTGGTTGGGGTGGTTGTGGCCGGACTACATGCTGACGCAAGCGCGCGCCCCACTCTTCTAAAGGAAAAGGCATACCCACCGCACGCACACTGTATACACAGCCTAAACCCTAAACGCCTGACCCCGAAACCCTTGAACCCTCCAACCTCAACCCAAAACCTTAAACCCCAAAGCCAAAGCCAAGACGCAGGCTCTACCACGTGCTGGCAGCCAAGTCCTCAAGCCCTTTAACCACTAGGCCAGTGTAGGGGTTCAGGGTTTGGGGTTTAGGGTGTAGCGGTTTAGAGCCATAAATCCTAAACCGCAATATGGTTCCCTGGGGGCCTGGGGACCGAGGCTTGGTATATAGTCTCTTGGTAAGTAGCCGTCTCATAAAAGAGAAACTCTTCAATATGTCGGCTGACCAGAAGTTTTATAGGATCTAAGATGTAGTAAGCATAGGTCATCTGGGTACTTCTTGTTTGCCCTAAGCCCTAAACCGGTGAAAGAGCATTCAGGGTTTTGTTGGTTGCCTGTAATTTTGCTAAATGATCCTAGCCGTTGCAGCCACAGAGCGGCTGAAGGCAAAAAGCCCCGAAACACCTAACACGTAAACCCTAGACGCTGCAACCTTAAGCACCACGACCAGGGTTTCCCGGGTGTTGTACAGTAAGCTGTCTTCTGGAATTCTGAGGAGCAACATTGCCACAGGCCCTTCTGTGGGCGGTCGATATCAACAGTCTATTGTCGGGTCTAGTGTGCCGGGTTGAGGCTTGAAGGTTTGCAAGTAGAGTTTAGGTCGAGCCGAAGCCCAAAACCTTGAAGAAAGTTCGAAATGAATCCTTACAGGAACCCTCAAAAGTTGGGAGACTTGACAAGGGACCTGATCTACACCCTAAGTGATAGGGATCCTTAGTTTCAAGATCCCGGCACATTCGGGGCGTCTGAAGATCGTTGTCAAGCTTGTCGGTGAGGAGTCTAGTTGCTCTTACGGATTTGTGCTTGCAGACGGCATGCCATGATATACCGCTGTAATGTCCAACACCCTCAAAAGGCAAAACGCCGAACGAACTCCAACCCCTGAGCCTCTCGCTGCATCCACTACGAATTCTGCTCAAAGATCCCAAACACAGAGGAGGCTGCCCCAACAAAGATCTCCTCAACCCTTCAGCCTCCGCAGGACGTGAAGCTTTGAGAACAGCCCTGCATGTAATTCAACCAAGATCCATGCATCTTTTGATGTCGGGGGGTACCTCCTTCTTGATGCATAGACGTTGCGAGAGCCAGAGGCGTGAAACCTCACGACCTTTGCAGGCAACCTGCGCACAGCGCGATGTTAGCTCGGGTGGACTCGGATGAGTGTTGTCGAAGTCTATCGTCTACAACGAGCCAGTCGTTTAGAACTGCGATATGAAGCAGCTAGGGTACATGCACCCGACGAAGTCGACTCGAATGTAACGTAGCACCGGCTCCCTTTCAATGATAATTCGATTCGGCTGATGCGTGTGTAGATCGCACTGCCGGTGGTGTTTGAAGTCTCCATTTTTCGGTGAGCAGAGCCTCCGAGAGACTACCAAGCAATTGTGACAGTTAGGAGCTACCATGCAGGATTCGGACCTTTGAGACTGTATTGGTGCCAGTTTGCAAGCCATCCGTTCTCCCGGAGGTGGGAGGGGGTTTACAGATTCCCCCACAACGCCTCCAACACTTGCTTTAGGGTTTAGGGCCCTGTCTTCCCCGACAGAAGGGCCCTTCTGTAGCATTGGATGCTTCCCCGAACTCTGAGCCATTGAGACATCTCCCTTCCATCAAGGCTTCCTTGATTCCCTTCGGCACGTTGAGACAACGGCGCCTTGCAAAGATGCGCGCGCGAAACCTCGCGCCCGCATGGGTTGGAAGACGGCCCTCCAAGAGGGACGCCCTTGAACAAATTGATCCACTACGCTCACTTCTCCAATGCCCGAGCTTTCAAAGCTCTTATGACTTGGTATTGTTCCGAAACGTTAGACGTTTGACTTCCGTGGGCACTGGGGAAGCAAGTACACCTCCTGTGGCGGCGCTTTCATTTCGGGATGCAACCCACTGGATAACGAGATGAAAGGCCTGCCAAGGGAGGCACAGTGGGGCTTTCCGAAAATTAGGGGTGCCTTATGTTTGGGTCCTCATCATACGGATCCTATTATTTAGGGTATCATAATCTATATTAGGGTCTCCTATTTTCGGAAACCCCCAGTAGTCTTGATCAGTTGAATTAACATGGCCATTTTGTACAGTGCTGGACAGGCA